GTGTTCAATAAATATTAGCTGCTGTTATGTATGCCAGTTACTTTCCTTTCTCTCCCTTTTATCACCTTACTTCTCAAAGAGCATGACCTTCACTTCCTCTTCAAGTCACTCTTTAACCACTTGTTTTCTGGCCCCTGCCTTCTACTTTCAAATTAATTTACTTTCTCAGATTTCACCACCTTTTCAGCTACTTGCCTTGATTTGTAGGCAACCACCTTTTCCCTTGGGAGCCCTCACTTCTTTGGCCGTTCTGCTTCTTTAGAGGAAAAAGAGCACTTGTCATTCCTTCTTCAGCCATCTAATTGCAGGCATTTCCCTGGGTTCAACCTCTAGCTCTTCACTGTCCGTTCTCTCTGTCCCTCAGATGTCTCTCCATGCCTTTTTCCTGGGTCTAACCTCCTTCCATTGTTCGTATACCACCTCCCTCTACCCAGGACTTATGCCACTGGTGAATGGACTCACCCTCCATCTAGACAGCCAAAACCGAGATCAGAGAAGCCTTCCTTAATTCTCCCCTCTTCTCACTCAACAACCAACTGAGACCAAGCTCAGTGGATTCCATCTCTTTAATATCTATCTCTAGTCCCTCTGCCTGTCTCACTGCTTTCACTTTAAGGCTTGCACTGTCATTTGTCACTCTACCACTGACTGCTACAGTGTTTACTTTCTTTTGGTGACGTACCCCTTGGTCAGTGCTCCAGAGGGATTTTTTTTCCCTTCTCTCATATCATATGGGTCAAATTCTGTTGAATCTGTCCTAATTATGTCTCAAATCCATCTATTCCTCTCCACTTCTGCAGCCAGTGATTTGCTAGGTCCGTATTGTTTCTTAGATGGACTCTATTTTTAGCTAGCCTTCTTGTCCCGATTCTTCCAAACCCTTCTCCACAGTACCATGAGGGAGGCTCTTTCTACCTTCCTCCTTAAGCCCATTCAGGGCCTCACCATTGGATAAAGTCCAAGTCAGGTGCTAGGTACACAGAGCTCTGGGTAGTCTAGCCCACTGGCTATTTCTTCAGCTCCATCTCTTGCTGCCTCCCCTCCTCCCTCTGCTTCAGCCACAGAGGGAGATACTTGCAGTTCAAGAAATTGACCTTGTTTTATACTTCTGTGCCCTTGAGCTTACTACTTACCCTCCCTGTTTGGAGGCCCCTGCCCCCTCCTCTCTGCCCAGGGCACCTAACACATCTTGTGAGATTCAGCAGAATGTGTCACCTCATCCAATCAGCCTTCTCCAACATCCACATCCATTTTCTTCTTGATTCTGCTCCATGGCAGAGCTCTATGTTTTCCATTTTTTTTCTCCTGCAAACTCAATATCACCTAATCTTTTACTTTCCACCTAAATGGGCTCCTACCTTAGATTTTCTCATTCCGTCCTTCATTCTCTCAGACACGTGGCTAAGACCCAGGTATCATCTTGGCTCTCACTTCTTCACCCTCACATTCCCAGTCTACCAGTTGTTTTTCTGTCAGTTTTTTCTCTGAAGTGGTTCTTAATCATCTATTCTCCGTTCCCTCTACCTCCACTCTAGTTCAGGCTTCCATACCTGAGGTTTTCCGTGGATGGTATTCATATTCCATGGGATGTGTGGGATAGCCTCAGCTTGTTTACCTTTCAGTCTCAGCATCAATATATTCCTGTATGTTATAATCCAGCCACACTGGAATCCTTACTGATCTCAGAACAGGACTCATGGCATGCTAAAATCATGCCTTTGTATCTGCTGCTTATCCCACGCTCCACCTACAAAATTTCTATCTATTCTCCATGGCTCAACTCCATTGCTTTCTCTTCCATCAAGCTTTCCTCAATTATTATTAGAAGTAACTGCTTTTCTCTGATCCCCTGAATTTTGTACCTATTTAATGGTTCTTATATGCTGTCAGTTTGCATTTCATGATACTTCAATGTGTAGAGATTAGATTATGAACTCTTTTAAGGAATGGATTATAAAATTATCCATTTTTGTATTGCTTTGCCACTAAAGAACTTAGCACAATTTCACACACACACACACACACACACACACACACACATCAGCTTTAGTGAGATAAAACTTACATACCCTACCATTTACCCATTTAAAGTATACAATTCAATGATTTTTAATATATTCAGAGTTGTACAACCATCACCACAATCAATTTTAGAACATTTTTATCACTTTCAAAAGAAGCCCCATACATATGAGCAAGTCAAACTCTCAGCCTTAGGCAAACATCAATCTATTTTCTATATCTATAGATTTGCCTATTCTGGACATTTTACATGAACAGAATCATACAATATTTGTTCTTTTAGGTCTGGCTTATTTCATTTCACATGTTTTCAAGGTTGACCCATGTTGCAGCATATATTGGTACTTCATTCCTTTTTATGGCTGAATAATATTCCATGTATGGATATACCACATTTTGTTCATGCATTCATCAGTTGATGGATATTCGGGTTGACTGTACTTTTTAGCTATTATGGATAATGCTGCTATGAACATTCATGTACAAGTTCTTGTGTGGACATGTGTTTTCATTTCTTATATACGTATCTAGGAGTGGAACAGCTGGGCCATATTGTAACTCAATGGTTAACATTTTGAGAAACTGCAAAATTGTTTTTAAAAGTGGCAGCACCATTTTACATTCCAATTAGCAATGTATACGGGTTCCAATTTCTCCATATTCTCACCAACATTTGTTATTATCTATCTTGATTATAGCTATCTTAGTGGGTGTGTAGTAGCATCTCATTGTGGTTTTGATAGCATGACTCCTTTTACCTATTAGATGTTTGATAAATATTTGTCAGATAAATGGCATTTATATGTAAGATTAACAAATAGACCTTTGAAGAGGTCATTTGACTTGCAAGTTTATTAGCTTAAAAAGATGAACATAGCCCACTATCATTAGAATTCAGTTTTTAAAAGTTACTTTTATACTGTTTTCTCTCTTTTTTAGTTGCTAGTGTTATCTAAGTGACATTGTAAAGGTGATTTGTAATGTAGCGTTGCAGGTTTGACTGTATTTTACAGAATAAGCTAAATTCCAAGCAAAATTGCAACTTTGATATTGTTCCTGCTCAGACCCTACCACTGAATAGGGAGACCAGGAAAGGTTAACTCCTGAATCTAAGGCAGGGCAAATGAATATAGTAGCATTCCCTAAATGACCTTTCCTTTGCCTTCTAATCAGAACACGTTTCAACTTGGAAGCTCCAAACACCAATTCTGTGGTGACTGTGTGAACTATTACTCCTGTTTAGAGACTGGCCCATTTCCTCCAGGGGCAGGCCTGTCTTCAAAAAAAAGCATTTGATAATACATTTGAGGACATGGGGGAGGGGAAAGGGGAGACTTAGAAAAATGCAAGCACTAAAAGTTTCTCTGGGTAGCTTTCCTCAGTAAACAGTATACCATGGGAAACATAACAGGTTCTGAAAACTTAATGTTGATGATTGGACATCAGAGAAAAATAGCCAGCTGAATCAGTTTTTTCTTGGGCTGTGGTTTAGCCTACTTATCTCAAGTCAGAGGTAATGGTCCAACTGCTTTTGCTTGGTTCTAGAGAGTTCTGTCTTGGCCAGAACCCATCCATTTAGTTTGTCCTTAAACAGACACTTCTATCTGCAGCCCTGAAAACTAGAGTTCCATTGAAGGCTGCAAATTAAAGGCCTATGTTTGGGCTTGGAACTTTGTAAGGTGTGCAGGTATCCTCAGAGGAGCTGGTGTGGTGGAGTCAGGGTCAAAGGTCATAGTAAGTAGAGCGTAGCCAGCTTTCTGTATGTATACCATCATCTTGCTTAACTAGTCTTTAAATGTGTAATTTTACAGTAGTAGTTTCTGCAACTAGTTAAGAGGCATATTTGTCTTTAGGATTTGGGGTGTGTATGGTGTTTATTTTCCACAACTACAGTCATCCTTATCTATCTGAAGATGTTTCCAAAGGCTGAGAACAGGCCTTTTTAGAACCTCCGTAGGAAAAGTATTTAACGGTTGGAAACAGGTCAGCTGCTTCAGGGAGGAAGCACAGCCCAGGCCTGGTTACCCTGGGCTCTGTGATAACTTGGGCCGCAGCAGCCAGGGCTAAGCTTGGTGGCGGGAGCTGCAGAGATGGAGAGCGGCTCAGAGGAGGGAGGCCCCTGCATTTCAGAGTTGAAACTGGAGCCCTCTGAGAGAAAGAGATATTGCATGTGGCTTCCCTGATGCCTCCGAGGGCGATGTGGATGACACAGCATCAGCCGTTCCATCGCGGGGTGGGGACACTGTGGCAGTAGGAGCCTCTGCCATCCTTGGCCCCTTGGGGGCCAGCAACCCTCACTTAAGCATCAGTTGTGTACTGTAGTGAAGGAAATGTGACAAAAGTCAAGGCAGCGTTGAATTCGTTGGACAGAGGACACGATCCCGGACGGCAGCACCAGAGCTAGAAGGACGGGGCCCTGGGAGAGAAACTGCCCGAAGTTGGGGGCGGGGTGAAGCACGGGTTCCTTAATCTCCTGCCTCATCATCTATTCGCCCCACCTGGATGCAGAGCGAGGACCGCGTGGAGATGAAATGGCGCGGGTGGGGCTCACCCTCCCATTTGCCTCAGAGACTGAGAGGGGAGGCGTCAGGTCAGGGACACCGATCCCCACGTCACCCCCTCCTGGCCTCCGAGGCGCTCCTCTCGCGTCTCTGGGGCGTTGCTGCCTGTCTCCCCCTCTCACCCCCCCTTCGTTAAAACAGTGAAACAAACCGTAGAGTGAAGTGATGGGAAGCTGGGGGCGGAGAGTCGCCTGCAGTGAGGGTCTGGAGGGGAGGGGGCGCGGAGGTGCCAGAAGGTGGCCGGCGGGCGAGCACTGGGCTGATCGTGATCCCGTTCAGCTGCGGCCGCTGAGACCCTTTCCCTGGAGCGGCCCGGCCCATCCCCTAGCCCGGGGCGCCTGCGGAGGGCGTGAGGCAAACCTGGGTCTGCGGTGGGGGTGGGGTGGGGGACTCCACCTCCATCCATCCCGGGATGGAAACTGCGGTCACCCCGCTAAAATCCGAACGGGGGAGACAGGCGGGTACCGCGGTCCCTCCCACCCTCCAGCTTGAGCCGCCGCCGCCGCCGCTGCGGCCGCTCAGTAACACGTCCCCAGGAGACTCGCAGGAGCAACACGTGATGTGTCTACTTATCAGGGTGAGAGGGGGAGAGCGAGTCTCCGAGCGTGCGGGCGAGGAAGCTGGGCGGGGGGCCGAGGCGGGGGCCGGGACGACGGCTGGGGCGCCGGGGTCGCCAGCTCCTCGCCCACCTCCCTCCCTGTGGGAGAAGAGGAGGAGGGGAAGTGACTGCGGAGTTGATGAACTTTGCACATCCAGAAACGCCATTTTGATTCCTTTTCCGGAACAAGTTTGCATCTCTCCTCATTCTCTTCCCGAAGCCCACCGGTCCCCACGGCATCATGCCTGGGAGCCAAGAGCCCTGCCCAGCCGTAAGTACGCGCCCGGGGTTCCGGCTGGCGGGACTCGGGTGGCAGCGAGATGTCTGGGGCTGAGCGGGAGCGACCTTTTAAAGAACTTTTAGGGATGAGGAGGGTGAAGTCTGCAGAGCGCGTTGTACTTTTCAAACTCGCCGTTTGCCGGACCCGAGGACCCGAGCGCCCCACGCCGCGCTGCGTGCGCTCGGGCGGCGGGGCCGGCCCGGGATGAGCTGGGCAGCCCTCTCCCCTCGGGCAGCGCGCCGGGCCGCTCCTCCTCCTCCCCCTCCTCCTCCTCCCCTTCCTCCGCTCCTTTCCCCTTCCCGAGCTGCCGGCTCTGCCAACCAGCTCCCAGCGCGAGCCGCCGCGGACGCCGCAGCGCCCCGCCGCCGGGACCTGATGCGCATCCATATTAGCCGTCCGAGCGCAGGAATCCGGCCCGACCCGCGCCGCCGCGCCCGCTGCCCAATTTATTTTTAACCAGCACCGCGGGGACTCGGATGGTGCACGCACAGCCGACCAGAAACATCTTCCCAGCGTTGCTCTCCATCTTCCGCCCTCGCTCCCCCGACATCCTCCCCCCATGTGGGAGGGGAAACTTTTCTCCTACATACTTTCGAGTCCCTCTCGGGCCGAGCTGCGCGGAGATGACGGCGCCCGCCCGCCGCCGCAAGGTATCCGGGGGTGCCCGCCCGGGGTGCCCGCCTGGGGTGCTGGCTCGGGGGTGCCTGCTCGGAGCTGAGCGGTGGGAGCATCCGCCGCGCCCTGCTCTGCGGACTTTGATCCTCGCCGGCGGACGGCGCCGGCCGGGAGGGGGCCGCGGGTAGCCCTGCGCCCTCGCCCGTTCCGGGCTCATGGCTGGGGGTCACGCAGACCACCGCCCCGGGTGACCAGGGGAGGAGGGGGCCGGAGCCCTGTCCGCGTATTGTTCCCTTGCCCTTCCGTTGGCGGTGTACGTGTTTTCGTGGGAGCCATCGGTGTGGAGCGGAGCCTGCATCGCGGGGGGGCGGAGGGGGGGGCTCGGCGGCCGGCGCCGTCACGAGCACAGGAAGGAGGCCGGGAGCATCCGAGGCGGGGCTGGCCGCCGGGGCCCGCTTCGCCTCCCAGCTGTGGAGCGCGCTCGGAAACTTTTGTCCACCGCCCGCTGGACCAATTTTTTGCGAGTTCTGGGGCTTCCCTTCCTCCTCCCATCCCGGCCCTCAGTGCCGAGCCGGGGCGGAGGGGCGGTGTCGTCGAGAGGTTGGGGACCCAGTGTGCCCCCCCCAACCTCTGGCCCGGCCCCCCGCGCCCCCTCCCCGCTCGCGGTCTCTTAGGAAACTGCGACCTTCATGGTTGCTAAGGAGCAGGGGAGGTCCTTCCCGTCGCCGGCCCCCTCCCTGGGAAGCTGCGTGTTTTCTGAACAGGGCCGAGGGTCGCGTCGAGGATGTGGTGAGTTGTTCCCCGGCTGCTCGCGGGGCCGGGCGAGGCACAGGAGTGTAGGACGCGGCAGACGAGCCTGCTTCTCGGCGCAGCTACTTTACTTTTGGGGGCTGGGGGGCGGGGGCGGCCCCGGGCAGAAGGGGGGCACGAGGGGCGCGAGGACCCCGGCGTCGCGAGGACTGGCCGGCGGGCGGGCGGGTTGACAGGCGCCGCGTGCAGCTCGCGTCCAGCGTACGCGGTGCATCCGTGATGGGTTATAAAAGAGGAGGAAAGTATTTCTCCTTGCTCAGCAGATTTGCCCTCCCTCGCTCCTTACTGGTTAGAAGATAGAACGTGAGCCCAGATCCGGACGAGCAGTTCACATTCCATTACGAAATTCTACACGGCTTCAGAGCCAGCAGCAGCACACATTCGGGGCACTTTGGAGTTTTTTCTTCTTTTGGGCGGATGGTGATGGTGGTGGAGAGAGATAGAAGGGTGAATAAAAAATATGACTTTTTGGTATGCTGAAAAACCTGTCCGAGGGTTTTCGTCAGTAGCAGAATTAAACCTTATGCTTGTTTTAGAGTTTAGATTTAAACTTAGCCTTTTGAAAGTCAGTGGAAATAAAGTTTGCCTGTTGGATAGGGATACTGTCTTTAAGAGGAGACATGAGGTAATTTCTGCAAAGGCTGAGTTGCTAATGTGCATCCCATATTTTTTGAGACTTTTTTCCTTTTAGATGCGCAGTATGTGCATGCGTGTGCGTGGATTCTGAAATAAATTTAACTGAAGTGGAAGGTGGAGAAAAGGGAACTGCAAAGAAAAGAATGGTTTTCGTTTTGTTTTTTGATATGCCCCCCTTCACAGTCCTTAAAAGCATCCTCCAGATCTGGTGCTTTTTTGAGTAGGCAGGTATGGTTCTAAGACATAATGTAACCCGGAAGTCTAAGAGGTCGAAGTCTTGGCTGAACTTTTTTTTTGCAAACGTTTTGTTCTGTGCTTCCTTCAATAGTCAAAAAGAACTTTTGAAGGAATGGGTTCAGAATTATTATTCAAATAATTTTTGCAAAGGTGAGCCACTAATTTTATGGTTTGGGGGTGGAGGTTATTTTTGTGTATTTTTTTACCTTTGGAGGGAGGCTTCTGGGTACTGGCTGATGGATCCTGCTTTGATGTGTTTTGAGCTTTGGTTACACTGATGAATTAAACATTTGAATGGCTTTTATCAAGTTTTAAATGTGTGAAAAAATACCTTCCCTCCTACACCCTTTTTACAAAAGAAAGGGAGAACCCTTTGATTTATTTGTTTAGCTTGTGCTCCATTTTAGGTTGTTAATGAACTTGCACTGTTTTATCATTCTTAAAAATACTGCTAAACTGGTTGCATTTTAGGATGTTTTGTTTTTAAAGAGAATTTGCTGGTTATGTGATACTCTTAAGTGCTGCCGATGGTGACTGTTTTGTGGCATATCATTCTCTTGTTTTTTTTTTTTTTTTCCCAATATTTCTCATCAGAAAATAAAAGTCTAAGCCTTTATGGCAGAAAAGTGTAATGTATTGGAGAAGATGGGTCTGATTCACCTGGCAAGGTGGTGGTACATCCATTCCTAACTGTTTACATCACCCAACAAGTGACCTTTTGATTGAAGTGTGTTTTATTTTAAATTTCTTCAGGCCGACTCCTGAGGTCTCATTTGCATCCAAGACAGGTACAAAAGAAACCTAACCTTCTTAGTCCTGCACCTGATCAACAGCTGTTTATTAGTTACTTGCTGTATATCAGTTAGTAGCTAATTGCCATTATGTAGCTTTCATTTTTACTGTTCAATTTTGAATTGCTGTGTTGGTCCACGACCTAGGTCAGTTTGGAAATCTTTGCTTGCTGTCTCATACTCAGTTGTGAATATCATTTATTACCTTCAGCAAAGGATATTTCCTGATGATTAGTAAAATTTTAAAAATTCTACTCTTTTAGGGTTTTGTATGGCATAATTAACATAAATTTAAGTCCTATAAAAATTGGTTAAATGTGTTCAGTAGAATCAGTCCGAGTGAATTCTTTTGATGTTTCTATTCATTATCCTTCTGAAAAGTAGGTGATGCTTAAAAGGTCATAGGATAAGGGTTGCTAAGCAGCTAAACAGAAGGATGCTAAAATTAACCAAAGCATTTTTGAAAGGGAGTCCTTCCTCGTTTTACATTATTTACTAGATTTAATTAATTTCTGAGTCCTCCGCATCCTCTGACCCAGAAAGTAAAATGTTAAGTTTTATCATATTTAAATAATCTCTCTTTCTTTTGTAAGTCTTTTAATTGAAGTTCATGCTTTCTGACCAACTCTGGTGTCAGATGGGGCAGCTTGTCTGAGTAGACTTCTTGTCTATTACCCATGTGTTTAGGTTGAACTTTCTCTTTCCCAGGATATGTGCGAGTAACATTACCATATTTCATTTATTAATAACAGAACATTTAATTTGTTTTGGAACATCTACCTAATACATAAAGCGATGTCATATTTCACTCCTTATTAAACAGATTAGCATTTAAAAGATAGACTGCAATATAGTATCAATAGGAAGTATGCAGTATAGTCTCTCTTGATAACAGGATGATACTTTTCTTCTCCCTTTACTGATATTCCCTTAGGTTTTGATAGGGGAATTTCTCCTTTTCACTCCACTTCTCCATCTCACTTTAGTCAGCCCACTTCTTAATTCCTTTAAAAAAAAATTAGTTTTCGAGTATCTTTGGAAGGACTGACCAAATGTTAGGGAAAAAAATTGTGATTTACATTATATTTTTGCCATAAGTATGTCAAAGGATCTTGGAGTTTTTCAGTGAGATAAAATGGTTGAAATCAGACTGAAACCATCGTTTGTGACAGGGCAATTCCACCGTAAGTCAGAAGTTTCCCTGCGTCAGGGTTACTTGTGTACATCTGACCTACTGAACAGGCAAAGTTGAGTAATATTTTTTATATCCAAATATAATTAAGAAATTGGATGGGCTCTTTTGCAGGGCAGGGCAAATGAGTTTTCTCTCTCTGACTTAGGAAGGGATTTTTAAGTAGAAATAGCCATGGCCCTCTTCAAAAAGCAGGAGTCATATTGTGATTTCCACACCCTGGGGGGCCTCCTCATAAATCAGAGGTAAAAGGTGTACCATATGAAACACAGAGGGAGGCATACGATGTGCTTTCTGAAATGCATCACTTATTTTTAATTTCCCCCACTCCCATAGGAGGCAGAATACAGAGAAGAAAACCATCTGCTGTGTTTGCATTATGACTGAGGTAGAAGAATGAGGAAGATAGGGAGTGAGG